GCTCGACGATGATCACCTTTATTTCGATGAACATTTCCAATGCTATTGTGTGTGATACCCAGTCGTACATAATCGGATGAACGAGTTCTTACAAGAATTTTGAGTGATTTCTGATACCATTCGAGACTTGTGTTATAATCACTTTGCATGTTGGCAACCATACCGAGATTATGATGTAATGTACTCAGAGAATGATCATCCGATGGAAGTTCGCTTAGCAATTGACGATAATACTTTTCAGCCATGTCAAATTTTCCCAATCGATATACTAAATAACCAAGCGAGAGAAGATTCGTTTCCTGTGCTTCGTATTCATTCTTCATGTGATCATAGAGTTGTTTGAAATCGTTGTCATGATTACTGCACAGTGTCATTCGAATGATCAACATTGTCGCATTAGAAGATGAGTGTTCATGACTAATCTGATTCAAGCGAAAGATTGAACCGACCATAAAGAGTACTTCAGATTCATATTCGTGATCACTGAGTTCGGCGACTTTTGCGAAAGGTCTGTTGTTGTCAGTTGTGCTTCGAAATACGTGAGGATCAGCATCGATTTCGAATAGTACTGGTACCAGATTATCGGATTCGATAGAACTAATATTGTACTCGAGAAACCTTAATGCAATATGACGATCCATTGTTGTCGATAGAAATGAATTCATTGAAATGAAACTGTCTTTTGATTCATGCAACTGTTTCACTTCCTCTTTCGATATCATTTGTCCTCGATACACTTGAATCCGTTCGTCACATTGATGTGCACGTAACTGCTCACAAATGTCTTGAATAATAGTATGAAAAAGGAATAAAATGTCCAAGTTTTGTGAACGTAGCGCCTTGTTTAACATACGATAAACAAACGACTCACACGTTAACCACCAAATGGCTTTCGAAGGTCTATATTTAACATCGAATTCATTCACCAGATTCATTGCGGATTCACTGTTCTTGTATTCCTTCCTGAATAATTCAACCAATTCACGTTTGTCTTGTGTGCTCGGCTTCATTTGGATCAGGATATCGATCAGTAGTTGAGAATGTAGAAATTGTCCATTCAAATCTGTTAAAGATCGATTCAAAATATTCAATGCGAGCGGTTCTTCAATTCGAACTCGATACTTTTGACTCATCCTAATTACACTGATCAATTCATCAAGTTTATTACCAACAGATTTAATCTACAATGACCTAACAAAGTATGAAATAGATTAAAGTAAAGTTATGTATGTACTTTGCTAAATGGCTGACACCATTGCTCATTCGCTTCTTTGTTAAAGCAGTATACATAAACTGATAATAATTGTTCTAGTTTTTGTATTTCAGGCTTCATAATATGACCCAATTGACCACTTACAATTAAGATTGTAAGATCATCTTGAGAAATGCAACGAACATGAGCCGAAAACTCTTCCGGATCGACAAATGTTCGTAGTTGATTAATAATAGTTCGTAATTGTTTTTGAGTCGTCAGATTTTTTTCATTATTCACAGAAGCTTCCAAACAGAAGATACTGTATATTTCCAGATTGTTATCACCATTATTTGTGTATGGCATGAGCGTTGCCATTTTATATTTCGTCTTATATATATATATATATGTATGTGGACACGTGCGTGTGCTTTGATATTCTTCTGTTTCGTCAGCAATTCGAATGATCTTGTTTGGTAATATGACGAGCTTTTATGAGCAACAATTAGATATGAAAAAAACTCTTTTTCTCGCTCCGTTTCATCGTCTCTGTCGTAACTATTCAAGAGTTCTTGTTTTTCGGTTTCACTTCAAGGCTATAAGTAAAGAGAAAAAGAAAGCTTATTATCGTTCGCTCTCTATTTCAACAACTCATATTTACTATCTTACTTGAAAACGAAGTGAGTACTATTACGTAGAAAAAAATGTTTTATCATATATCTTTTGAAGCATTATATGTGCATCGTCTAGAGATTATTTCGTCTGTCGATAGCCACACACAAGTCGTATGCTTCGTTTTGCTTTAAAACTTCTATCAACAAAATTTATCTCTTGCTACCTATTGAAATTATCTTTTCTATACTGCACCGAACATGTTTATTTGCATGATGTTACTTTCTTGCACACTCCAATGACAGTAGTGTAATCAAGGTTTCATTCTTTCTATAGCATTTCAATAGTGTGAAAATTAATCAGCCGGATGAAGATTTTCCTTTGACCTTCTTTCCTGAATTCTCCTGACCCTCAAAGCTCCTTAAAAAAGCCACTTTTCGTCAAAAAAATCAACATGAACATAAATGCACTGGAAGACAGGTCAAGGTCTGACCTTTCATAAATGACATCATTTTTTTGTATTTACCATCTCGTTCTTTGACAAAGTTTTCGATGATTTTTATTATCATCTACTTAATTTTTTTTTGGAACTCTGTAGTACTCTTTTTCATAGACCAGACGATACTCAGCTTAACTGACTAAAGCATAATTGACAACTCGCTTGATTTTTACACGTTTTTCTTAATAAATCATTAAGTGAATGACAATCTATTGACAATGTCTTGTACAACACAGTCACTGTTTGTCACAGTTCGCTCTTTTATTCATTCACATGACCTATGTCTATAGAGATCATTGCAATCGTTACATGTTGAGCAGCAGTGACTTCACTCTGATTTCAAGTGACCGAGTGGAATACTTCATCACAAGATCATAGTGACTGTGACAACCATGCACGGTATCAATATTGTTGAACGAATAACTCAAATCAAGATGAGCTGCTGACAGATACTTATTTTGAATATCAAGTGATTTCTCGTATAAATTGAGCGCGTCTAAAAACTTTTCATATTGCTAATAGGTAAGACCGATGATATTGTAAAAATAGATCTGCTGAAGTAAGAAGCATTTTGAAAGACGAATGATGATGTACATCATCGTGTTCTCGTTGCACTCAGTGATGGAAAGTGTCTATACAATTTTATTCTTCTTCTAGTGAATAATTCAAAGGTGACAGTGAGTGAATTACGCAACGTACAACAGATTTATCTTTCATTTATACTATTAAATATATCAATTAAATAAATGCGGTATCCTCAAAACATAATTTTATTGATTTTAACAAAAAAAAAAAAAAAACATATTCAGCAATTTTTGGTCTTATACAGCCAATCTCAAGCTTATAACAAATAAATAGAAAGAACAACAACCTTTTTTTTTTAGAATACTGAATATACTTCGTTGATATAATTATTTATTTAGAATTTAATCTAAATATAGATTTTATTTCATACAGTTATTTGATGAAGCGATAGTGAATAAGACTTAATTGTGTATAGGAATGAATTACAACTTTTCGGTACAATCGATGCGAAAAAAATAAAAATGGACCTAAACAACTATTGAGTAGTGCATTTTATTATACTCTATGCCTATGTTAAAGTGCAAAATTTTTTCAACACTTTAATGATTATTAAGAGAAATATACATTGTACAGTTAAATTTCTGTTTAATTCAATAATGAAATTGACTTTACTCATTGAAAAGTTCGAGTTATTTTCCAGTTCTGTATGAAGGATAGAAAGTTAGAAAGAGATCCCAATACACTTGAATTTGCTTGCTATATTGTATTGATTTGAACTATACTCGAAAAAAAAAATTTTTCAATGAGTTAGATTGAAAATATCTGCAGAAAAATTGTCACTCTACATTTTTTTAGTATAAGATAAATTTCTTCTCAAAGGAAGATGAAAGGTTGAAATTTTTATCACTTATAGAACCTTTTGTTTTACATCTACTGTAAAAATTTGAGTCAAATGGACTGACTTGTTGATGAGTGACAAAGCAACCAATTTTCAAATCATCACTCTAAAAAGTAAGTGTAACGATCTTTATTCAGAGAGTCTTGTTATCTTTATTCGGAAACGAAGATAATAGCGCAGAATTTTTTTTCTCATCAGTTTGTTACTTAAAGAATTTTCTCTACTTCCATTTTGTCTGTGCATCACTAGCTTTATCACTAGCAGAGCTATAATCAAGTTTCTGTCACTCTACACAACAATATAAAGTGTCTGACAAACAATGTGAACGTCGGATGAAGGAGAGAACATAATATCAAATTTAAACCAATTATATATTTTCATGGAGCATCGAACACTGTACAAAAAAGCCTAATTACCTACTATATCTCTTGCTTTTCTATAGCCAAAAATTCATTTTACTTTTATCATGTCAGCAAAAAACTAACGTTTTTTTTTGCCATATAGTGCTCAGAAGTCAATGATGGTATGAGCTACAGTGCTGAAATTTTGTATAGTAGTGGGACCTATGAAGAGGAGTAACATATACAAAAACTGTCTGAATTGATGGAGAAAAACAAAAGTTATTAGTCAAATACAGCTAAAACATCATTGATATTAAAACATTGCAGTTCATTCATATACTTCTGTAACTGACTAAAGAATGGTTGATAATTTGTTTGATTTCAACATATTTTCTTTATTGAGTAACACATAAACTATTTTCTCGTAAGTAATTGCAATCGTTACATGCTGTGCAGGAATGCCTTCACTCTGGTGTCAAGTGATTGATTGAAATACTCTATCACAAGATCATCATAGCTGAGACAATCATGAATGATGTTAATATTGTTGTAGGAACAACTCAAATCAAGATGAGCATTTGGTAGATGCTTATTTTGGATAGCAAATGACTTCTCACAGAAGTTCAGTATTTTCGAATACTTGTTCTGTTACGGATCGATGAAGTTAATTTTGTTGTAAAGTTCAGTAATCTCCGTATGATGCATGTCATGTACTTGTTCGAAATGTGAGGATGTGGATGTAACGATATGACTTGTATGGGTCTACAACGAAGATATTCAACTGTCTTTCCACACTCACGCATATTACAGAGTCTTGAGATGTTTTAAGTTTCTTTGTTTTTCAGTTAACATTCTTTTTTTTCTTTCAGTATATAATGTCTACTAACAAAAAAGTCATACTAATACAATATATTCAACACAAAAAAAGAAAACTTAATCATTAAGATTAAGACTTTGTTCAGTATGTAGAATAAGATCGTTGATTATCTCTTTAAATAATTGTACAAAATCTGTTCTGTATATGCACTTGGTGGCAGCAAATATACATCCGATAAGTTCAAAACAACATATAACTACTTGTGCATAATTGTATTTGTATAATAAATATCTCCATAATAATTCAATATATTTATCTTGAATATCTAGAACTTGTTTGATATTTAATACATTTATTGGAGGTATATTTGAATAAGTGGTATAATTTATAGTTGAAAAAGAAACAATAGCAAGAAGTAATTTCATTACAATTATATCAAACTGAATTATATTCGCTAAACATTTAGCAGTAGGTTCTACAGATGGATGAGTAATAAGTGCAACAGTATTATAATAAGCAGGATAACTTAATAATCCAATCAAATGATAAATAAAATTTGTTGAAAGATCTGTTATATATTTTATTGTATTGTTAAGTAGTACAGAACGATTATTAGCAGATAATGAAAGAAAATCTTGATTGTTTTTATATAATAATTGAGTACCTTCCATTGAGTCATTGAAATATCTGTTTAGTGCTTCACTTTTGAGACGTAACTTAGGAGGTAAACTCATTTGTTCATTCATGAAACGTTCACCTAATGTTACTCCACTATATTCATCATAACAATGAGATAGATTTGAAAGAAGATTCCATTGTTCGATAGTTAATGTTGATTGATCGGATCGTAAAAGATTCAAAGTTGAAAGCTAAATATAAATAGAAAACAAATAATTTGTGAAAATTTCGACAAAAAAAGAGATTGATGCTATCATATGAATCTTCTCCAGATCAAGTCATAAGACTTCCTATAGCTATTTTAATGATTATTAATATTTCATCCCATCATTGCTTTTACATTCATCTTTAGTAATATTTCTATTTCGTTCTATTCAATCGTCTTTTCATCTTCTCTTTGACAACTATAAGTACTTTCCTCTCCCAGTGCAACATCATTCAAAGAAGTTTCGACTTATGAGTATTCGCCTTCCATTCACTGGTCATTATATAGTCTTTTCACTTACTGAAAATAAACTTGAAAATGAAAGTTGCATCTCATAAGTCGATTTAATTTTCTTTCGGTGTACTGTTCAATTTTTTTCATTGATTGAGTGATATTTTTTCTATATCAAAGAATAATTTGTATTGAAAAAACAAGACCATTATTTTTCAGAAATGATATGTTTAATAGTAAAAAAAGTTTTTATTCCAGTTTGCTATTCAAGGAAGATGAAGTACATACTTAGTTTTTTTTGTTTTGAGTTCTTGTATTCTTAGTATTTTTAAAATGAAAATATTTACCCTAGTCGAACATTTTTTCTTTTGATTATGACATCACACGATTTTATTTTCATACACAAGCTCTTGAACACTTACATGAATGATAATCACATTTAAAGGAACTCATATACGTCGAACTCATCAATATCATCCGAATGAGTATACTCGAAACAATCAACTGAAATAAAAATAATGTAAACTAATCTGCTCAAAATGAAACAATACTTTTTGTAATTGAAGATATTTAGACTTTCTATGTAATATACAAGAGAAAAAAAAATGGAAAAGCATATATAATACATAAGTAAATTTGGTTTAATATCTAAAACTCATCATGTTTTGCATAAGGTGTTTCGTTTATGTTTCAAGTCTTATCTCAAGATGTATCTTCTGAGTTTACCAACATTTATTATTCGTTTCCTTCAAATCTATCTTTTGTAAAAATCTCAAACTTTTTGTTTAAAATTAAACTCTTTCTTGTCTTTGGCTAAACTTGACGGTTCTCAGAAGGGTAATTCACTCAATAATATTAATCTTGTGATCCTTAATATATATAGGAAAATTTTGAACCAAATCCAACAAACAAGCCTTTCTTATCAATTATAATACGTATCATCACGTTATGTATTCAGCGAGCATTTAAAAAAAGTTATTTTTATGATAAAGACTAGATTGAGATAGTTTATTTTAAGTTTATAATAGATAAAATTTAAGTTGATATAAAATCTCTATCTAAATGTCTCATAGTTCAAGAGAACGAAATTTTTATAAAATGATCTCCATAAGGACCAAACGGCAAGAAAGGTTTAAATTTTGAAAAATAATTATATTTCTTTTCGATTTTTCGAAAATTTTCACAACAATTGAAAAAAAACATCATAAATCAATTTTTGTTACAAGATTTTCACTTAAACTGATCGTAATCACATATTTAAATGAAAACAATTAAACACTGTCTTATCTACCCAAGTTGATTACATCTATATGCAAGAACACATGTTGATTCCGTTGGATTAACTATTTCATTTTTTTTCTTCTTGTTTTGTTTTTTTTTCTCGAATAAAAGGACCAAAACATCTCAATTTGCATTCCACTTGTCAAACATTTATGAAGTCGATAAGACAAACATACATGACAAGTATTTATATTGATTTCACAATGATCATCAAAATCAAAGAATATAATGAAAACAATATTGACTAATTTCAATAGACCTGTCCTTGTTCAGTATTTCGTTTGAAAAACATTTCTTCTTGTTATTAATCTAAAAATCGTTTGGGTTTAACATAAATTTTTCTGATAAAAGCACGAAATCAGAAACATTATGTGGTAGAAACAAATAACAAATATTTTTTTTTTAAATTTATCGATTCAAAATGGTGTAAACATCAAAGTGTATTGTGTTTTGAATTCATCAGATAATTTGTCATGAGATTCTTGTATTCTATTCTCATAATTATAGTATAAATCTATTATAATTTTGTACGCATCACTATTTTATTGTTGAAGTTTTCACTGGAATTACAAGTATAAAAAAAAAGAAACTAAAATCAGAAATTCATATCCAAATCATCAAAACTTTAAAAAAAAATAAAATTATTTATTTAAAAGTTAACTTTGTTCGTATAGAATGTCAACCATACAAAATGTTTTATAAAAATAAACGAAGAAACCTGTGCAAACGATTTATATAGATATAAGAAACAAAAGATAAGTATTTGTTATTCAACTTTCGACAGTCTTTTTATCGTTTCATTAATCGATAGAAAAGATTCTTGACTGGACTTCAAAACAAAAAAAGAATGCGACCTGATACGTTGAGTGCAAAAAAGAAGAATCTTGAAAGAATACGAAGCAAGAATATCGACCGATACGTGACGAACTACGAGGACGATTAGGACAGAAAAGAAAAAAAGAAACAGGCTCATTCTTTTCTTAGTTGGCGAAGAATATGGAAGCATCAAGAGCGATCTACATTGTAATTGTTTGAATTACTAGAATACT